TTTTTTGGTTTTTTTGATGATCAGTCCCAAAACAGTGTTTATTATGGGAGGTGGGGAAGGATCAGCTGCAAGAGAGGCTCTTAAACATTACAGCATTGAGAAAGTTGTAATGTCTGATATTGATCAAGTATGATTTATGACCATCCTCTTCTATTTCTTTTTTGTGTCTATCATTTCGTTAATTAATCAATGAAATCTCAGTTTGGATTATTAATTAGTACTCCTCCGGTCCAAAATAAGTGATTTTTTGGATGTTTTCATACAGATTAAGAAATCCACCTTTTAGCATTAATTAACAATGAAATTGACCATATTAACCTTTACTATCCCACATAAACACTCCTAACACATATTCCAACACTATTTACTCCAAGGACAATATAGGAAAAAAATAATTAATTCATTCTTGAAATCTGAAAATATCACTTATTTTGTACCACAAGAAAAAAACCAAAATATTACTTAATTTGGACCGGAGAGAGTAATAGATAACTTGTGGAAAGTGTGATAAATTGTGTATATTTGTAGGAAGTTGTGAATATTTGCTGTAAACACCTTACGGCAAATCAAGAAGCCTTTGCTGATCGGAGGCTTCATGTCATCATCAATGACGCCAAGTAAGTTTAAATTAGATTAAAAGTGTATAAATAAAAAGGCAGCTCGGTACACAAAGTATCCGTAGAGCTATATCCCAAAGAGTGTGATGTAGATAGTCTATCCTAATGCAAGCATTAGTCGCTGTTTTCACAGCTCAAACCATGACCTATAGGCAGGGGCGGATTTAGGGGGTGAACACCCTTCGCCGAAAAATTACATTGTATATATAAGGCAAATCTGTTTTTTACCTTTGTATATTAAGTTTTGAACACCCTTAACACAATCCAAAAGTGTAGTTTAGTGGTCAAGGGGGTTCAAAATCTACATAAGGTCATGGGTTCAATTCCCACTAGCTACAAAAAATTTTTTTTAACTCCCTTCGTGGAGATCCTGCCTCCGCCACTGCCTATAGGTCTTACGAAAATAACTTTACCGTTGGGCTCCTTCTGATAGTGTATAAATAATTATATGTTTATATCGTTAGTGTGTATAAATTAAATTATTTGCATTAACCGCTAGCTTGTGCATGTGAAAGGGTGGAGTTGGAAAAGACCGAGTCGAAGTATGATGTGATAGTGGGAGATTTATCTGATCCTCGTGAAGGAGGGCCTTGCAATTATCTCTATTTTAAATCTTTCTATGAAAGTGTCATTAAGTCCAAACTCAATGATAATGGCATCTTTGTCACTCAGGTTCTTTCATTTCTCTCTTCACAATCCCTTTTTATTTTATTTTATATATCATATTATATTATAAGTGTGAAGACGCTAAGTCAAAGTTAAAAGACTAAAATGGCCATGTTAACATTGAATAATAATTTTGCCCTTCAAACAAACACTATTTCTAATCGTAGTGTATCAGAGTCAGTTTTTGCGTATTTCAACTAATTTTACGTGATACCTACGGGATAAGTCTGAACTATATATAGAGCATGTTATTAATTATAACAAGCAAAACTTACCAGACTTGTGATTTTTGCAGGCTGGTTTTGCTGGAATTCTCTCACATAAGGAATTGTTCTCATCAGTTTACAACACTGCTAAACAAGTTTTCAAGTGTAATTCTACTGTTCTAACACTGCATTTGATCTTGTTATTTGATGAGCAATGTTACAATTCCTCTCTTCTCTTGATTTCAAAAGGAGATCTGATATTTTCAAGAAAATAATTCAAAATTCATCTTGGTACTTTTGACTTAGTTTTATAAGATAATCTTCCGTTATATTTTGGATCACTATTTCACCTACCATTTAAAATTAGTCGTCTCATATTTGTTCTCAACTCTTCAAGCTGGATTGACCTAGTCCCAAGCGACGTCACGTGAGACTACTTCGTTAATTTTTTTTAATAATAAATTATATATAAATAATAAGTAAATAAAAATATATAGTATGGATTTAAAAAATAACATTGCTTATTATTATATTCATTTGTTTATTTGTTAATTCTTTTGGAATTATTACACAAATAGCCGGCCACATTTACTGTTTACTTTTTCTAGGCGGTATACACAGTTATATACATATTATACATGAATTTTACATATATTATACACCCGCCTGTTATTTTTAGTTTAAGAAATTTGTGTGAACAATTATTTAAGTTAATTCTTCAATTTTTTTCAATATTAACATCGCTTACGAAAAATCCTGCATACTTTACTTTTAATGCTAAGCTATGTAACGATGTCATATTGCAGATGTTATAGCTTACACAGCTCACGTACCATCTTTTGCTGATACACGTGGATGGGTTTTGGTATAATAGTCCCTTATTTATCTTTTATTCAAATTATCTTAACCCTTTTTTTAATTTCATAATCAATAGCTTAATTATAATTAATTTTCTTATAGGCTTCGGATCAACCATTTAAACTAGATGCTGAGGTTCTTGAGAACAGAATTAAAGAGAGGATTAATGGAGAACTTCAGTATCTTGATGCTGCTTTCATGCTCTTTCGTACTGTTATGAACAAGGCTGTTGCTACATCGTAAGTCTAGATAATTATTTTTCGATGTTTGATTATCTGAAAATATTTTTCAAAAAAAAAATATATTTATTAGGAGGGGAAAAGTAATTTTTCTAAAATTATATATTTGCTCCAACTAACGCTTAAATATAATTATTCTCTAATACTCAAAATTTTCGTCAAAAACTTTCCAAGGGAAGTATTACATTGTTATCGCAGTTAACAAATTTTTATCGGGTATTATCACTTTTAGCCCCCGTCAGAAACTATTTACATTCGGTAGCCGAAAAAGTAAATCAAAATTGTATAATTTTTGTATATAATATAGAAAAATTATACACTTTTTCGGTTATTATTTTAAGAGTGGCTATACAGCGTCATTTTTCGAAGTTTTATTTCATCATTGTAACTTTTTACAAATATTTGTAACAACTGATTTTTATTACTTTAATTCAATATATTATTTTATGATGATGATTTGCGTAAATAATTTGGCAATATAAATAATTAAAATAAAGAGGTTAGTCATTAATTTCACTCATTCATATGTTTGACAAAATCACGTTTATTTGTTTCTTAAATAACCAAAATTTATTTTCTTTACTTGTTGTAGGCTTCTGAATGAGACAAATATTTTAACAGAAGAGAATGAGAAGTTCCTCTTTGGACATGGACTGCTTGCAGCTGATAGTGTCTGAACAAAGTCTGATCAAATCCAGTTTAATTTCTATGAATTATTTTGAGTGTTATTCAGTACTGTGAGCAAAAGTATGAAACGAAAATACTGTAATGAAATAAACAAAATATATTATTGCAGATATCTATGGCAATCGTTTCCCCTGTTAGAATTAAATTGATATAATATGTTTGTCATATTACATTTTTTTTGTACCAACCATCACACACCAAAGAACCATAGAAATGTCTAATAACTCTCAAACACATAATTGAACAGTTTCAAGTCGAAAATGATGGTCCTAAACAACGGCAAAAAGATGAAAATTGATATATATATATATATATATATATATAT